GAGAGGCTGTTTCCAATAGACCCTCAGCTTAGGAAAGCATAAGCACCACATTAATGAAAATATAGACAAGGGACAGTACAAAAAAGCTATATAAAAGTAGAATAAAAACAACCAGATAGTAAGGTGATCAACAATGAAAGAAAACAACGGTTAGTCATAAGAACCTACTACCAACAGAAAGCGAGACTGCGTGCCAATACTACTGTTATGAACACTCTACTACCCTAATCCTCGACCTACATACCTTCCTATCAAGGGTCATGTTCTCGGTCAGCTGAAGCTGCGTAATGTCTTGCCTAATCACCTCTCCCCCTCTCTCACCTCCTCACCCGGGCGTCTGTGCTCCTCCTCCTCACATGACCAAACAACTTAAGTCGCGCTTCCCACATCTTGTCCTCAATAGGGGCCACACTCACCTTGTCGGGAATAACCTCATTTTTGATCCTATCTAACCTGGTGTGCCCGCACATCCATCTCAACATCCTCATCTCTGTTACCTTCATCTTCTGGGCGTGAGCGATCTTAACTGGCCAACAGTCAGCCCCATACAACATCGTTGGTCTGACTACCACTCTGTAGAACTTACCCTTAAGCTTCGGTGGCACCTTCTTGTCACACAAAACACCGGAAGCGAGTCTATATTTCATCCATCCCACCCCAATACGATGTGTGACATCTTCGTCAATCTCTCCCCCTGAATAATAGACCCAAGGTACTTCAAACTCCCTCTCCTAGGGATGACCTACGAGTCCAGCCTCCCCTCCCCTTCCCCTCCATGATAACACCTATGTCCATTAATCAACAAAAAATACAAGCTTGCAAACTTTTCAGTCAAATGTTATTTTAGAGGGGAAAAAAAGCCATCAAGAAATAGAATATCCAACAAGAAATCAGTTTAGATTGTAACATGAAAAGAAGATGAATAACAAAATAAGTGATTTACCATAGCATGCAACAATTACTAATTTCTCATGCAAGCATGTGAAATTACCTGAGACATTATTCCAAAAGGTGTTTTCTGTGTTTTCACCACTCCTCCTTTTCCGCCACAGTCAGAACAGACTTTAACACAACTGCTAGATTTAGCACCAGTCCCACCACAACTATCACATGCATCGAGAGAAGGTACTTCGATGTCTCGCTGCCCTCCAAATATAGACTCTTCAAAGCTCAAATCAAGGTCATAACTGGGAAACAAGAAATAAATTCATTACCAGATATTCAGCTAATGAAAAAGACAGACTACGAAGGAAGAACAAATCAAACTCTTTCCTCTTGTCCTCAATTACTTCGAACATAGTATCAAACCAAAGCTGATGGAGAAGTTATTCTGTTTTCTTTTCCTCAATATTCTTGCTTCTATTTCACTGATGCAGGTAAAGCCATGGAACTTATACAAGCCTTCGCCCAGCAATATATAAGAGCTAAAAACTCTCCTCAACAATGAATGTTACTATAAAGTAGTAGAAAGTAGAAACTCATCCTTTTGGGCTAGGCCAGTGGGAGGCGACTCAAAGCATTTTCCGGTAGTTATGGGGTTACACCAAGGATCTGCCCTCAGCCAATTCCTATTTGCTCAAGTGATGGATGCACTGACACGCCATATTCAAGGAGAGGTGCCATGGTGTATGTTATTTGCTGACGACATTGTTCTAATTGATGAGACGCGAGGCGGTGTCAATGAGAGGCTGGAGGCTTGGAGACGGGCCCTTAAGTCTAAGGGTTTCAAGTTGAGCAGGACTAAGACGGAATACCTAGAGTGCATGTTCAGCGTCGAGCCGACGGTAGCGGGATAGGACGTGCGGCTTGGATCCCAAGTCATTCCCAAGAGGGACAGTTTCAAGTACCTTGGGTAGGTTATACAGAGGGATGGGGAGATCGACGAGGATGTCACTCACTGTATAGGGGTGGGGTGGGTGAAGTGGAGGTCAACGTCTGGAGTCCTGTGTGACAAGAAAGTGCCACCGATACTCAAAGGTAAGTTTTATAGAGCGACGGTTAGACCAGCTTTATTGTATGGGGCTAAGTGTTGGTCAGTTAAGAACTCTCATATCCAGAAGATGAAAGTAGCAGAAATGAGTATGTTGAAGTGGATGTGCGGGCGCACTAAAATGGATAAGATTAGGAATCAAGATATTCGGGAGAAGGTAGGAGTGACCCCATGGATGACAAGTTGCAGGACGCTAGACTCACATTGTTCGGGCATGTTCAGAGGAGAAGCCTAGATGCCCCGGTAAAGAGGTGCGAGCGACTAGCTTTGGTGGGCTCGAGGAGAGGTAGATGGCGGCCTAAGAAGTATTGGGGAGAGGTGATCAGGCAGGAAATGGCGAGGCTTCAGATTACCAAGGACATGGCCCTAGACATGAAGTTGTGGAGGTCGAGCATTAGGGTCATAGGTTAGGAGGTAGTTGTGCAAATTTCTACAGCGCGCTAGAGTGAGGCTAGTCTGTTAGGGTTTTGTCTTAGACTGTAAATGGTTAATGTTTGAGTTCACATTACTCTTTCGTTTCTCTTAGTGCCGGGCTTTATCTACTGGTTGTTGTTTTGCTTTTCATCTATGTTCTTATGATGCTGCTATTTCTTTCTAAGGTTTTTATTGATGGTACTGATATTGTGTCTTTTTTTGTCTTATTGAGCCGAGGGTCTATTACAAACAACCTCTCTACCCCTCGGGGTAGGGGTAATGTCTGCGTACACACTACCATCCCCAGACCACACTAGTGGGATTTCACTGGGTTGTTACTGTTGTTGTTTTTGGGGGGGTTTGGGGGGACTGAAGACACCCAGTGAAAGATATAACTGTAATCAGAAAACTGTATTTTTTCTGCACGAGACATATCCAAATATCACCAAGACCAAGATATTAAGATATACATAGTTTCAGAAGCAAAAGCGCATGGAGACTCACCGAATATCGAGATCCTGCCTCCCCATATTCCTGAAATCGAAGCTGAAGCCTCCTGATCCACCACTTCCTCCAAAAAAGCCACTTGACTCTCCAAAATACTCAGAAAATACTTCAAAAGGGTCCACCTAAAGATCAGATAATCACGCGGGAACAGAAACCAGTCATCATGAAGAAAAATATGAAAACATTAATAAAAGGTCAGTACTCTTAACATTGCCAAAAGTAGCAGAAATAAATTGTTTTACATGATCTTACCCCCTGCGCACCGTTACCAGGCACATTATATTCTCCTCGCGACCCTGCCTCGCCAAAACGGTCATATAAAGACCTCTTCTCATCATCTGATAATACCTAATAATACACTTTTGTAATCAAATCGAAAACAATGAAAGAAAAGACCAAGAAGTAAATCTTCACCAAATTGGATACATCACATCATTTCAACAAGCGCTTTTCACAATCTCAGTAAGTAATCAATTCAACATAAAATTCCCCAGCAGAGAAGAAAGGGAAGTGTTGGGGGAAGGAAGCAGGATGTTACCTCGTATGCAGCACTAATCTCTTTAAACTTTTCTTCAGCTCCAGGACTTCTATTCACATCAGGATGATACTGTTCCCAAGCAAAGAAGTGTTCATATTCAAGAAGCAGAAAATGCCACAAGACAGAAATGTGTTTATCAAAGACATTCAAGCACAAAGTTTGTTTAAGCAACAGGGAAGGTGATAATAACAATTAACAACTAACATATGAACACCCAAACCAAACTTATACATACATAACATACATTAATGTAATAGTAAGTTCACAGAGGAGTTATACTTTGCGAGCAAGCTTGCGATAAGATGCTTTGATTTCTTTGAGCGTTGCATTTCTACTGACATTAAGAACTGAATAGGGGTCGGAACTGGTCGACTTCGCAGCGGCTGAAACACTAACAAAGCGCCGTCTTTTCCGGTTAAGGGGGAACAGATTAGGCTTAATATAGACGAATTTGAGAGGTGGAGATAAGGAGCTCGAAAATGTGAGGGTTTTAGGGAAGTTGAAGCTCGAGAGAGAGCAGTTTGGGTTAATATTAGACGCAGTGCAGAACCAATTAGGGTTATGGATAGCCGGCATCGCCGGCCGGAGTGTAGAGGTAACGGCCGGCCGGGAACAAATAGAGAAGCAAGGAGTAGGTTGTTTTGATTTGGCAAGAGAATGTAAAACCTCTCTAGAAGGGACAAAAGGGGTTTTCTATTCTTTTTTCTCTCTTTATCAATTTTCTCATTGCATTTGATTTTTACATTCCAAGCTCTATATTGTTGGGGCACTCTGCAAGGTCTTATCACCATATTATAGCTTGTTTGGATGGTTGTTATGTATCGTTTTATAATGCATCGTATAATATTGTATTGTATCATTTTGATGTATACAATATTTGGATAGATTGTATTGTTTATGTCGTTTCATGATGTCATGCACCAACATTATGAAAAATAAACTTGCAATATTATAAAGAAAAAGTAAGGTAGGAGTAGAACTATCATATAGAAAGGAAGTGTAAAATATAAAATAAGATTATTTAATAATAAAGAAGGGCAAGTTGGGGACAAAAAATAAGGTATCGACGCGACCACCAAAAATGGTCGTTCCACAAAGCCGCACTTTTCGTCATTACGTTAGGACGGATTTAACGAAATGATACAATAAAATTTAAGTAACAATCAAAACAAATATTGTATTGAAGTAACAATACAATACAATAACAACCATCCAAACAAGCTGTTAATAGACTATATGTGAGTCTTTTTTCATACTGATGTGTAGAACAAACATGTAACGCATAAAATGACTATCCAATTATTAACTCCAAATTGAGAACAATTTTTTTTATTAATCGTCGTTTGGATGTGAGTTTTTCAATTTTTTATTTGGCCGAACTTTTGTTTTTCCTAATTTGAGGCGTTTGACAGAAAAGAAAAAGTGCTTTCAATTTTTTCTGCAGATGAAGGCCTCATATCAAAGGCACAAGACTGAGGGATAAGAGACAATCAAAGAAGACGTGCCATAGGCAGTTCTTGAGTTCATTCCAGTAGTCAACAAAACATTTCATGAGAAAAGGACTCGCACACCATCTCATCTTTAGATATAGATCAAATGAAAAGTTGCACAGCAAGTTTGAAAATGAGGATCCGAGCTATTATGATCGGTGATTGGTCTTAATAACATTCATCTTTACATTCAGAAGCTAATTCTACTGCCTACGTAGCTCTTATAATCTAATAAGAGTTTGCAAACTTCACTAAAAAGCATATCATTTCCCCTTCACTGCTTGCTGAAGCTGATCCATTAACAGATGCGCCACTGATTTGTATCCCATCTCTCTAGCTGTTTTGTCCAAGATCCAACAATGTAAAAAATACACAAGAATTAGAAAAATTCTCAGTGCACACTAAAACAACAGAAATGATGAGCAAACAAAACCTCAAGTAAACCAGTGGCCATACAACAACAACAACAATCCAATATAATCCCACAAGTGGAGTCTGGGAAGGGTAGTGTGCACGCAGACGCTACCCTACTCTGGGAGGTAGAGAGACTGTTTTCGATAGACGCTCGGTGCAAGAAGATGAAAAGAGAAAATAGAATAGAAACTAGTGATTATACAAACCTCTGAATATGGCGATCCCAGTTGGAGCCATCTTTCTCTTCTTTAGGCACAATGAGCTAGAAAAACATAAATACACATAAGCAAAGAATTGATTCACGAGCAAGAAAAACCAAATGAAATTTGCCACTATCAGTATCAAAAGAATGTAACTTCATAAGCACCTACTCCTGTTCTATATAACCACCAAAAGTACCTGTTACATATCCAATATGGATTGATGCCTTTTTCTTCAGTGCAATGAGGGCATACCCATCCTTTATTTGCTCTCACCTCCTCCAGTTCTAACACATATTTGCACAGATTTAGTACTTAATCAACATTCATAAGTAAGAAACAAAGATCAATGTCACAAAGTTTCCAATGGTGGGCCTTCTATTAAATAGAACAGAATTGTGTTAGTGCCATAGAACAGAATTGTGTTAGTGCCATAGAGTTACAGCAAATCCATTTTAAGTGGTCAGAGTACAACATGAGTGTCTAAAAATGTATTGCTATTGCCTCACCTTCACCATATCGAACCTTAAGACAACCTCGGCAAAGAACACCATTGGTAGAATGACAAATTGAACAATCTGTCTTGCCTGTATATACCGGAAGTTTTTTACAATTCATCAGTCTGTAAATAAACAAGTAGTATCACAAAGCACAAAATAATTAGTAAGACTAACCTAAGCAAGGTTGATCCGTGTCCAAATCACCACATCGTTTACAGTCTTCTTCACCACACAATTTCTTTTGCCTGCATTATCGCAAATCATCATTTTGAACTGATTCCCGTGTTATAGATTAGCAGTTTTATGGTACATAAGGACAAGTTGAGCTGACATAGATGTAAATTCAAGTTCAAATTCACGCTTCCTAGCAAAAACTAAACAAAAGAGCCGTCTTGGGGGAAGTCCCTCAATTCATTGCACATTGAGTAACAAAAACTCGGATTTGCAAAAGGATACATATCAGTATTTTGACTTATTATAGCAGGTTCCACTAGAGGCGGATCCAGGATTTAGATTCTATGGGTTCAACTTTTAAGGTTTTAGTATTGAACCCACTGTATTTTTAAAGTTATGGGTTAAGACCTACCATTTATTGCATTTTTAATGAATTTTTACACATAAATTTATGTTTCGCGTCGAAAGTACAGCCAAACTCTTCCTCCGCCCCTGGGTTCCACAACATTTTTACCAGGTTCGCAGATTCATGTTTATAACAGAGATTTATCTATCATTACTTTATAAGTAACTTTAATTGTGTGAATATTTTTTACACAGAATTTGAACTCTTTGCAAAATGAAAGGCTAAAAATTGGCAAGGGTACTAGAGAACGAGTATAAGACCTGCAAAAGTGACAGCAAATACCAAAAATAGGGTCATATATAGTTCCCCTATCTTTGCTGGAGCAACGCCGAGACAAAGCTTCCGGTGTAAGGTGCGGTATTAAGCCATCTTTCACTCTCAGCAGAGGTGCATTAGCAGGTCTCCTCTCAGTATCATCATCAACATCTCCTTCTTCGTAAAGTCCCAATTTCCCTAAAAGCAATATAAAACAAAATACAAAAAGGATACATCATTCTCATGTCAAAATCCAAAATCACTCTAAAAAAAGGGACAAAAGAGACATAAAAACGGACTTTTTGCTGGTGGAGCAGAGTAGCAGGACTTCTCATTCAAGCGACCCGAACGGCGCAAGTCTAATTCCGGCGGGGTGTTGCCTTTCAATCGATCGGAACGGCGCAAAGGAGTAGAGAAATAGTCAACTTTGTTATATTTTTTCTTCTCCGATTGAGGTTTAGAAGTGATAGTTCGAAGCTCTGCGATGGTTTTTTGAAGTCCAAGACCGGCCAATCGAGCCTGTAATCAAAAGAAAATCAGCTATAGGAGTTCACATTGATAGAAATTACACACTCAAATTGTAAGAGAATAGACCTGGTTTTCCAAGATTCGGGCATTTCGCAGTTCTTCATAGTCAGTTTTCATTCCAAGCCTTCCCATTATGGCACTTTAGGGTTTCAACGGCGATTTTCTTCCTCTTTCTTCGTTAAGATTGCAGGCTTTCTCAGTTCTAACGGATACCTTGGCAAGATCTGAACTTTTTGGAATTTGAAAATTGAAATGGGAAAAACGACCGTTGATATTGTACACAACATTTTAGAATTGTGTAAAAAGACCCCCTCAAGTCTTGAATTAAGAAAATGGGACGTTTTATACAAGGGAAAAAGGCCGGATTTACCCGTGTACTTTTCTAAATAGTATACATTTCCCTAACCTTATACTTTCCGTCTAAATACACTCCCTACTGTTACCAAAGTGAACTAAAATAGTAAATATTTACCCTCTTTTATATTGTCCGTCTAAATACACCCTCTACTGTTACCAAAGTGAACAGAAATACCCCAAATCCTAACGGTTGTCCACCCCAACCCTAGGGCTGGGCATATATCGGGTAAAATTGATAGCCCGAACCGAAAAAAACTTATGGGGTTATCGGCATCGGGTTATTGATTTAACTGTTCGATAACGGTTTAGTATTATTTTACTATTGGGTTATTGGTTCGGGTCTTGTTTGCCCAATTTTGTTAACAGATTAACTGTTAACCCAATAAACTTTATAAAAAACGATTTTACCCTTAGGTATATAAATTTTCCAGTACTCCCAATTCCCCGTCTACTGTTTTAACCCTCCCAAGTTTGTCATTCAACACATAGAGAAACAATGCTGTAAGGTTTATCATATTCTTTGAGAGAGTTGGAAGTTTATCATATTCTTATACAGTACACATTATCCTTCATTACTTCTTCCCTCTAGAATCTAGATTGAGTTATCTTATCGGGTAAACCGATAACCGGAGCGATAACGATCGATAACTGATATCTTATCAGTTTGGTTATCGGTTTAGCATATTTATAAATCGATAACCGATATGTCAACCGATAATGTAACATTCACCACCGAATCGAACTGATCGATGCCCACCCTTACAAACACCTCAAAATTATAGACGTGTTATTTCTTTATTGGTCATTCTATAACTAATTATTCTTAATTTAGAGCAATATTTATTTGTGGCTCTCACTTTCTTTCCCTTCTCCTCTTGTTTTCTTCTTCACTAGCAAATGTGGGACCTAGTATTCCACTTGTCAAATTTGTCGTATGACTCACAAAATAAACTTTCCCCATATTATAAGATCAAAGCCATACAAAATTTACTATTCCTATGTTAGATCATGCATTCGCTTCTAATGCTACACAATATATTTCCTAGCACTCCAAAATCAGGCAAGAAAAAACTATTTCAAATATTAGAAAAATTATTGCATTTCAGGTGAGGAACATATGAAGTGAAACGAGGGGACTGCTGTTTCTCTTATTTAGTACAAGCAATTTCATGCTATCAACCATATCTTGAGTTACTAATATTTTAAGAGATTTCTTGTGCATGATGGGTATGTCCTCCTCGTGCACTCCAAACAAAATGTCGGAACTTCAATTTGATATTGATGAAAGAGAAGTTTTGAGAGACAAAGACTAATAGTAGAGAAGAGTTTGACAATGCTAAAGCTGAGCGTTGGCTGCTGCCTGGCTTTGTATTTATATTAGCTAGTTACAATGGAGATAACAACAAATATATACAAAATGTGTACAACTATACTAGGTTGTTACGCATATCTAGAGTCCTACAACTTTACAACATTATCACATCCTAACACCCTCCCTCAAGCTGAAGGGGAGGAACGAACACAAAGCTTGGTTAGGAGCTCGTGGAACCTAGCAGATGGCAGAACTTTGGTAAACAAGTCAGCAAGTTGATGAGAAGTGGAAACATGAGGAACAAGCAAGTCTCCTAGGTTGACCTTTTCACGAACAAAATGATAATCCAGTGCTACATGCTTAGATCGAGAGTGGAAAACCGGGTTGTGCGCAAGATGAATAGCTCCAACATTATCACATTTAGCCATTACTGGTGAGCAAAGAGGAACATGAAGATCACGTAAGAGATACTGAAGCCAAGTAACTTCAGCAACTGCAACGGCAAGAGCTCGATATTCTGCCTCGGTGCTAGAGCGAGCCACTGTAGGTTGCTTCCTAGCTGACCAAGAAATAAGATTATCGCCAAGAAAAATACAAAAACCAGTAGTTGATCTACGTGTCGCAAAGCAACCAGCCCAATCGGAATCGGAATACACTTTAAGAGAGAGAGAGGTATTTCTGGTAAGTTGCAACCCCCAATCAGCAGTACCTCCAATATACCGAAATATTCTTTTGACAGCTTGCATATGAACCTCCCTAGGATTATGAAGAAACTGAGAAGCAAGATTAACAACAAATTGAATATCAGGCCGAGTAAATGATAAATACTGGAGAGATCCTACCATTTGACGATAAACTGATGGATCACTTAGGAGAGCCGAAGTAGAAGAGTGCCAATCAAGCTTGCTTTGCAGAGGAGTTAGAACTGGTTTGGATTTATCCAATCCAAATCGATGAAGAATATCATTGACATAGCGATGCTGGGATAAGAACAGACCAGAGGAATTTTTAACTAGCTTGACGCCGAGAAAATAACTTAAAGGACCCAAGTCTTTCATAGAAAATTCATGTTGCATGGCTAAGATGAAAGAATCAATTAACTATTGAGAGGAACCAAAAATGGCTATGTCATCCACATATATAAGAAGAACAAGCGACTCGGACCCCAAATAGAGAACAAATATACTGTTATCTGACTGTGATTGCTTGAATCCAAGATCCGCCAAGAAAGAGGTAAGGCGATGAAACCAAGCTCTTGGTGACTGTTTAAGACCATATAAAGCGCGCCGAAGTTTACAAACATGATGTGGGTAATCGGTGTTCTCAAACCCTTTAGGCTGACGCATATATACAGTCTCTGTTAATTCTCCATGTAGAAAAGCGTTTGACACATCCAGTTGATGCATGATCCAATTACGTTGAAGAGCTAAAGCAAGAACTAATCGCACAGTACTTAACTTGACCACAGGAGCAAATGTTTCAGAAAAATCAACCCCCGACTGTTGAGAATAGCCTTGAGCGACTAGACGGGCTTTATAACGATCTACTGAGCCATCTGAACCATACTTTATACGGAAAACCCACTTGCTACCAATAATATTAGCATTAGAAGGAGGTGGAACTAAGGACCATGTGTTAGTCTGAATAAGTGCATCAAATTCTTCACTCATAGCCTTAAGCCACTGAGGATCCTTGGCAGCTTGATTGTATGAGGTGGGTTCAGATAAGAGGGAGGAAGAGGTAGAAGCAGATAAAGACGGAAGGATACGAGGTTTAAGTTTGCTCGTCATCGCACGGGTGACCATTGGATGAACATGAGAATGCTTAGATGTATTGATTTGGGATGGTTGTGAGGGTGAAGAATGCGTTGAAATATTATTAGATAAATCAAGAGATTGAGAGGGAGAGGTGGGGGTACCATGAGTTGTATTAGATTTTGATAACAAAATATGAGAATCTTGAGGAAGAGTACTTGGAGCTTCAGTAGCCAATGTGGGGGATAAATTTAAAGCATGTGGAGATAAGTTGGTTCGGATGAAATGAGTTGGAGCACCACCTGGAATATTGCTTGAAGATGAGGTTGGACTTTTATCAAACAAACGGCTTGAAGCTGGGGAAGATAATGCCGAGATACACGGCATTTGAGATGGTTTCGGACTCAAGGAGACATGATTTTGTGGAGTGGAGAGAGTTTTAGTCAAGGAAGGAGGTAGAGATTCACTAGGAGACGCTTGAATTTTCGAAGGAGAATTCTTCGGTGAAGTAGGGAACATTGTAGGATAAGGAAAAACATCTTCAACAAAATGCACATGCCTAGAGATTAAAACTCTATTATCAATAGGAGCAAGACATTTAAATCCCTTATGCCTATCAGAAGTCCCTAGAAACAAACAAGGTGTGGATCTTGGATGAAATTTAGATTTATTGTGTGCAACATATGGATAACAAAGACTCCCAAAAGTTCGAACGGATGAATAGTTAGGAACTCGACAAAGCAGTAATTCATAAGGAGAAAGAAAATGTAAAATTGGTAAAGGAGTAATGTTAATAAGAAAAGTGGCATATAAACATGCATCTGCCCAAAACTGAAAGGGCATGTTGGCTTGAAAAAGAAGGCAGCGTAGAACATTAGCAATGTGCCGATGTTTTCTTTCAGCTCTTCCATTTTGAGCAGAAGTGTAGGGACAAGAAATGCGATGAACATATTCCATGCTGCTTTAAAAAGAATCGAAAAGCAAGATTTTCATATTCTTTGCCACCATCAGATTGAAAGAAAGAAATAGATGCACCAAAGATATTCTTAATCACGTTATAAAATTCCTTGAATTTGTCATAGACCTCGGATTTTTCACGCAATAAATAAATCCAAGAAAATTTTGTATAGTCGTCAAGGAATAAAACATAATATCGGTACCCAGAATGTGAGGCCAGAGGTGCTTGCCATACATCAGAGTGTACTAAATAAAATGGAGCACTAGACTTATTATTAGACAACGGGAAAGAAAGTTTTGTTTGTTTGCCCAAATAGCAAACATTACATTTATTGTTGCCAAAAGAAGAAGAACAACTAATTAATTTCCTATTAACTAAAGAAGCAAGAGATGGGCTGCCAGGATGTCCCAAGCGTTGGTGCCAAAGAGAAGCAGGTGAAACTGAAGCTGATAGGCCGACTTTCGAAATATTGGTTGAAGCAACAGAGAGTGGATAAAGAGCGCCAATATTGTCACAGTGGAGCAACGTCGTGTTGTTCTTCATGTCCTTTACAAAAAAACCAGAGTCCGTGAATTCGATGAGACAATCATTATCCCGGCACAAATGTTGTATAGACAAAAGATTTTTGGCAAGTAATGGAACATATAAAACATTTTTTAAACGAAGAGGTTTGGAAATAGTAGGCAGAATAGAAGATCCAACAGAAGAGATAGGGAGAAGATGACCACTACCAACCATAACCTTAGAAGATCCAGTATATGGGGTAGACGAGGAGAGAACTGAAGGGTCATTCGTCATGTGCGCGGATGCGCCAGAATCTGGGTACCAAATTGTAGGTTGCACCTCTTCCACGTTCATTGCAGCAAAGGATTTGGGAATATTATTTGCAGCAAAAGAGTGGTTGAATCGATTTCTACACTCCAAGGCAGTATGGTTGAAGCGAAAACAAATTTGACATTGGCTTGTCGGAGTAAAAGGTGGTCGTCCCAAAATACCACCAGCAGAGGAAGGAGGTGGACGAGAATGAAGTTGATAGCCAGACCAATTTGGAGAAAATGATTGTTGGTTAGAGTGATTTGAGAATCCTCTGCCCTTGCTATGATTTCCTTTAAAGTTCTTTCCTCGACCTCGTCCAAAGGAGCCACCTTTTTCAGTAGAAGCGTGTGAAGTAAATTGATCTTTAGTAGATGCAAGTAAGGCAGTTTGTGCACCATGATCTTCAGTTGGATTTGCATTAATGTGAGCCTCTTCTGTGAGTAGGAGAGGACGCAAAGAGATAAAGGATGGAAGAGTTCCTGTGGCATTTAATCCGGAAACGAAAGTGCGATAAGAGGGAGGCAGCCTTTGTAGAGCTTGAGTGACTAGATCTCCGTCTGTGATAGGTTTTCCGATTGCACGCAAAGAGCAGGCAATTGAATGTAATTGTTGAAGATAATCTTCCATGGAAGAGATCCTTTCCTGAAATTTTGGAATTTTGACTTAAGATGAATAGCAGAGGAAGATACTTGATCCAAGTACAATGAGGTTAAAGTATCCCACGCCTCTTTAGAAGTCTCACAGGCATAGTTTAATAAGGTATCAAGTACCGAGGGTGATAATGTTGCATTAATCCAGCTTAATGCAATTGTATCACATTGAACCCATAGTTGATATTCCTCATGAGTTGATTCAGGACATGGAATAGATCCATCAATAAGAGAAAGAAGATTGTGACTTTTGAATACAGTTGAAAGAACTTTCTTCCATGTGAGATAGTTAACATAAGTTAACTCTATTGGAACAAAACCTTTGATGTTTGAAATAGTTGGAGGTGGAACTGGTAGACCAAGAGAAGAAACAAAGGTCGTTTTCATGGAGGAGGAAGCCGTGGTGTCGCCTTGCTCTGATACCATGATGAAAGAGAAGTTTTGAGAGACAAAGACTAATAGTAGAGAAGAGTTTGACAATGCCAAAGCTGAGCGTTGGCTGCTGCCTGGCTTTGTATTTATATTAGCAAGTTACAATGGAGATAACAACAAATATATACAAAACGATACAACTATACTAGGTTGTTATGCATATCTAGAGTCCTACAATTTTACAACATTATCACGTCCTAACAGATATAATCGTATGATTGTTTAAGGCACTCCACGACCTATGAGTGCTTCCAACAAAATAACTCAACAATGCAATTATGTTTTCTCTTTCATAATGGCAACTGCATTGTATGTTATATATCATACAGAAAGCTGCAATAGGCTTCATTATTTTCCACTCACGTCTGCCATAATATACGAAAAATGGGCAACGTGGTGCACAAAGCATCCCACACTTACGCAAGGTCTGGGGAAGGGCTGCACCTCTAGGGTAGCCTGTTTAGCCAAGCTTTTTTTTTGGGCCAAAAGTGTTTTTTTGGCCAAAAATTGAGGTGTTTGGCCAAGCTTTTGGAAGGAAAAAAAGTGCTATTAAGGAGAAGCAGAAGTAGTTTTTTAGAAGCAGCAAAAAAGTAGTTTCTTTTCAAAAGCACTTTTCTGAGAAGCATTTTTCAGAAAAATACACTTAGAAGCATTTTTCAAAAATTTGGCCAAACACTAATAACTGCTCAAAAGTGCTTTTCAAATTAATTAGTCAAACACAAACTGCTTATCACCAAAAACACTTTTTTTAAAATTGTACTTTTGAGAAAAACACTTCTCAAAATAAGCTGATTTTAGAAGCTTGGCCAAACAGGCTAATAGACAATCTAGCCTAATACAAGAATTAATGGTTGCTTCCATGACTCGAACTCATGACTTATAAGCCACACGAAGACAATTTTACTATTGTTTCAAGACTCCAATTCTTCCGCCATAATATGGAGCAGGAGTTAATTACTTGTATGATCACCCAAGCTATGAAAATTACTTAGTAAATCACTTTTGTTTGTTTAGAACAATAAAATCACTCATGTTGGCAGAGTTAATTATCTCACAAAACCACTCTAATTTCTAGCCGAAAAAGCTACTTTCTCTGAAATCATCTTCAACATCTCTTTCGTCTGAAATCCATTTTCCCTAAAAGCAATATCTTAGGGAAAAATCCACTCACTCTCCTATCTATATATCCTCGTGGTAGCTCAGTGCACAAGGTATTTTGCGTTCACGCAAGGTTCGGAGAAGGGCCGCATCAGAAGGGATGTGATGTAGATAGCTTACCTTAATGCAAGCATTAACGGTTGCTTTCACGGCTCGAACCCGTAACCTATAGGTCACACGAACACAGCTATTGTTCCAAAACTATATATGTTAGCACGCAACTAAAAACAGAAAAAAGAGACAATAGACATAAGTAACACACTTTTTGGCTTTGCTAATTGCTGGCGAACAAGCCCAAGTTGAATTATCATTAAGCACCAACAAAATAGAGTACATAAACAACTGGAACCCTTAAACCAGCTCACATCTATTTTCTTTCTCTTTCCCAACTAATTAAACCCCAAAATAAACCAGGAAAGAAATACCAAAAGCATTTTATCCTACACCCATTTTCTTCACATCATCATCTGCTAATAATGTTACTTCAATCTGCTATTAATCTTAATGCTCTTGGTAATGCAGAAACATCAACAGCCTGTTGTTTTTTGTTAATGTTATAAGCCTGCATTTTGTTTTGGTATTCAGCCATCATTTCGTCTATCTTTGCTTGATATGGAGCTTTCTCTGCATCTGAAAAGGATTTCCACTTCTCCCCAGCAGCTTTACCCACAGCAGCAACAGATTTGTTGTTGGGATACTTTTCTTTGTACTGCTCTCTGAACTCTTCCATGAAAATGAAGAAAGCAGTTGTAGGCCTCTTTGGCTTATCAGTCTCTGCAGCCCTACTCTTCTCATTCTCAACCTTGGATTCATTACCTCCTTTTAATCGTTTGGAACGACGCAAAGGAGTGGAGAAGTAGTCAATTTTGTTATGTTTTTTCTTCTCTGTTTGTAGTTTACCAGTGATATTTCGAAGCTCTGCTATGGTTTTTGAAAGTCCAACACTGGCTAATCGAGCCTATAATCAAATAAAATCAGTTATAGAAATTTAAAATTGACAGAAAAAGAGATACTCAAAATGTAGAGAGAAGAATAGCACCTGGTTTTCTAAGATTTGAGCTTTACGGACTTCTTCATAGTCGGTTTTCACTCTATGCTTTCCCATTATGGCGTTTGTAATGGCGATTTTGCCTCTTCTTTCTTCTTCTTCGAGAAAGTAGGGCAAAGACTGGTGTTTTTGAATTTGAAATGGGATAATGGGCCGTTGATTTTACACTAATATATGAGCCAATTAAATTACCTAAAGGGTCGTTTGGTTGCCGGTTAGAGTTAGGTTGGTATTAGTTATACAGGAATAAGTAATGTATGGATTAATTATGCATGTATTAGTTATACATGAATTAGTTATGCAGAGATTATCTTTTAAAATATTTGGTTTGTTGTATTAAAAATTGATACACATTATATAAATTTTAAAGTTAAATACGTATTTACTGATTTTGTCTATAATAGATTGAGAAGAGGAAGAGCCTAGCAGTGAGGCATCAGTGCTCTCCAAAGGTAGGAAGAGCCTAGCAGTGAGGCATCAGTGCTCTCCAAAGGGTTTGATACAGATCAATCTATCAAAAGAGGCCTTTATGTGTAAAGTGATAGGGGTAAATTTGTCATTTTAATATTTTTATACATGTATTAGTTATTCCATCTTTTAACCCGCATAAAATAATACATAGATTGACTCATAACTTATACGTGTACACTATTATTTATATAGAATTGTAAAATGACAATCAAACATAATATTAGTTATGCTAAAATTTGTACAAAATAACCAAAGGCTACCAAACATTGATAAGTTATGTTGACGTTTCTACTAGTACTCTTTAAGCACCATGCATAAAAAGTAAAAGTTCATTTGTGTCCTATCACTAAGAAATTCCCGAGGATAAGTCGTACAAGGTTCGAAACTTGGTGAATGATAGATCAGATCTTTTACCTTTTTCCACTAAAATATCATGCTTTTGTTTACGGTAAAGTTCAAAAGTGTGATATGTATCGAACCACACGCCATGCGTTGTACTCTTACCACTAGATCAAAGCCGTGTGTTAAGACCAAAAGACCTCTTCATCTTGCCTTTTGGTCTGCTTACTTCAACTGAACCATAACTTTTGATCATACTTTGTATTTTTATCCAAAAAATTATTAAATATATACGAATAGTAAAATTTGAACCCATTATATTATAAGATGAGATGTGGTAGAATTACGAATCTGAACCCATAAAATTCAAATCTTGAATCCGCCTCTGTGCTTACTCTTGACCAAGCCAACCAAGGATTATTTCGCCAGTGGGCAAACAATGGCCCACTTATACATAGGCGAACATAGGGTGAGGTTTACGAGTTCAATTGAATTCATTACTTTCGCTTCAAATTACGTATATATAAAAGGAAAAAAATTAAAATATATATTTATAATAAAATCACATTCATTCTAAACTGACTACATTAGGCTTGCACCCTGCAAAAATATGTTTAAATTGGGCAAGATAAAGTACTTAGACATTAACAAAATCACATAATTTCAGGTGAGGGCAAAAATGAAGTGAAATGAGGTGACCATATTTCTCTTATATATTAGTACTTCATCAACCATATCTGGAGTTACTAGTTTTTTAAGAGATTTTTTTTGTGCATGATGTGTATGTCCTCCTCGTGAACTCCCAGCAACTTGTCGGAACACCATTTAATAAAATCAAATAATTCCAAAAAAATAATTCCAACCATGCAACCATGTTTCTCTGTTTCATGGCAACTTCCTTGTTTTTTAATCATACAGTCAACTGCAATCGGCTTCATTATTCATGTCGGCAATAATATTTTGAAGAGTTAGTCTTTCTAGAGTTTAAAACTTATGGTTGGTAGAAGAGTCGAAAATTCAAGTTCTTCACCTATCCATACCAACAGTAATGAATTTGTCCAAATTCCAGAACACAGACAAGTCAAGAACTTCACATCCATTATTATATAGTTCAATTATTGAATGAACAGAGTTATGCCAACAAACTAGAGAAGAATTTGTAATGCCAAAGGAAAGACACAGTATTTCTTTCAATTCTGGTGTTATTTACACACAATCAGACGATTGCCGATGTACATTTATTCGATTCGACTAAGTAAGAAAAAGCTAACAAAGAATGAATGAGTATGAAAGAATTAAAGAATGAAGTTAGAAACTTTTGAAATTAACCTCTAAATCTCTCTATCCTGAAAGATCTCATGTCCTCTCTTTACTTCATCTGAACACTGTTATCAAGCATAACCTATATCTGGAGTTTGAGAAACCGGATTACGTTGCTCTCCAGATCATCTGCTTATATCTGGTTAAAGCAACAACGACTCAGTGAAATCCCACTAGTGGGGTCTGGGGAGGTAGTGTGTACGCAGATCTGGTTAAAGCTGACAATATGAGAATTCGACCAGGCAGGGATTAAAGGGTTCTTTTCTTTGGTCCATAATACTGCTGCTTGTAACCGCATCAAAAGGCTATTTTTCCTTTCTTTTGCAGATTGTGCGGTACAACGCCAATTCCTGCACTCTACGCCACCAAAATTTCTCTTAACGAGGTTCCAAGGCTCTTTCTTTCTCCTTTATATTATGTTGATTCTTGGCCCCCACCTCGTCGAGAATTCGGCTGGATAGGCATCCGTGGTTCCTCGTCCATTGTTCTTAAAAGTCTTGAGGTTTTTCCTTCATTTGTCTGCTAGCTGAAAGCAGCAATGCTTATTCTTTTACCTTCACCAAACATTGGAGTTACATGGCTATTTCCCAGCTCTTCATTGAACATCTTCTGGGCTTTAGTGCTCATTGTTGCTTCTTCACTGAACATTGAGTTGGCTACATTACTAATTTCATTGAACAACGGCTTTGTTCTCGATTCTTGATTGAACATTAGCTTACCTACAGAAGGCTTAGCTACAAGGCTAATTCTCAGCTCTTCACAGTTCAAATCATTAGCTTCATTGCTGATTCTTGGTTCTTCACAAAACATTGGGTTAGAATTAGATACAGCAGCAATTGTCTGTTCATAGGACAATTCATCGAAAGCACAAGTCCGAGGCTCTTCTTCTTCTTTGTTTCTCTTTGTAAGCTTAGAAGCAAAGACATCTAAAGCTTCCTTCATCCAAGAATGCCAACATACTTCCCTTGCTTCACTAAATTTCAACTGCAAATGGAATCAAACATAAGATCAGAATACATCATCCTACTAAAAGGTATACAAATCGAAGTGATTCAAGATCACAGTAGCTTATTAGATAGGCAGATTTGAGACATACCCATAGGCGTTTTCGGACAGTTTTCTCAGGCCAATCATCAAGTTCATCAGTGACAAGCAAAGGAAACATGTGTCCCTCATGAAATGTGCCTTGGCTTTTGCTCTTGAAACTCCAAGTACCTAAAAATTCTTGAACCTCAACCTCACCAATAACCCCAGATTCCTCAAAAGTCTCTCTTAAAGCTGCATCTTCTAATGCCTCATCAGTTTCCCAACCACCCTGTAATTTCATTTGCAAAGCAAAGAATGTTAAACTTCACAATTAAAAGAATATTACTATCATTAATCCTGATATGGGAAACAAAAACAACAGACAATTGGATGCAAACTGTACCTTAGGAAACATCCATCTTGGACTTTTCTGTGAGCTGATCAATAAAAATTCCAAATCATCAATTTGGGTCCTTTGAACTGTAGATAATTGGTTGGTTTTTCTGTATCTGTACGGAATGCATCTGCACCATTGGTAAAATTGACAGAAAAGTCAGATCAATGACAATTTGATCAAAGATAATTCAACAGACCAAGAAATTGATTTGAAAATCTCTTTTTTGTATCAAATTAATAATTCAAAACAACCCCACATAAAAAAGTTTTCAACTTTCTTCAATTTAAGCCAAGAAAATGAAGGATTAAGAGGGAAAATTATAAGAATAATAAAAAAGAATACACACCCAACAACTTGACGACAGCCATCATTATATCTCTGCAAATCTCTTCCAGTTCGTGAGATCATAGACAAGGTCTTCGTCATTGCCATATCAAAAGAACTCCACAAAAAAGGAGATGGAATATATATACCAATATATAAATATATATACCACAAATTAGGGTCGTTAAGGTGAGAGAGAAAAAGAAAAAGAAAACCCAGTTGGAATTAGTCTGTATCTAGTTTATAAAACAGGAAAAAGAGTATATATTTTCTGGGAGTAGATCAGCTTCCTTAATAATTTCAAGAAGCTAAAAATACAAAGAGAAGAGACAGATTTTAGTATTTTCTATGCGTGTGGATAATATAATGGGAAGCTCTGCTACAACTCTGTGTGTCCACTCCTTTTAATAGGCAAGGGAAAGATAGTGATTTATAGAATTTTCCCAATGGGGGGCCTGTTTGGGGCGTGGGTCAATCATTATTTTATGCGTTTTGTAATTTTCTGAGAAGGTCGTGTTAGTAAATCAATAAAAATTTATTATGGTTGTTGTGGGGTGAAGACTAAAAATAGCCCCCCCCCCCCCAAAAAAAAAATGTAAAATATATATATTCTGACGCGTGACGAGTCGCTTTCTACCGAACTCATAGTAATAAAGAAGAGAAGGGTCTCAACTCTCAACTTGAGTCGCACTCGGTTTGTGACTAGCCAAGAGTACTGCTGGGTTCAAACTCGCCTCGGCCTAAACACGGTTTTGGCTTGGTATATTTCTAGGCAGCGGCATAGACAAGAATCTCGCTAAGGTATTAAAAAAAAGTCAATAATTCTTTTTTATGGATGGTTGCACCGAAGTTATTAAATCAAACTACGTAATATTTAGCTAAATAATAAAAATTCTTGTAATAAAACTATAATTGTATATATATCAAATTAAAAAAGACAAGAGCAGTATTTTACAAATAAAAGTAAGCATTAAACCAAAGGGAAAAAAAGAGAGTCGAGAGGGTTTGTAGTGCGTAACTTAGACAGGGATTCAAATCCGTGAGCAACACCTCACTTTGAACACCATAAACCACCGGACTGCCTCACTAACTATGTTATGCGTGTTCAAAATATATATCAATACCAATATAAAATAATATTCAATCTATATTACATAATATAATTTTCCAGCGAAGAGTTCACTTGACCACCCTTGACAGAAGAAAGCAAAAAAAATGGTGAGGGGGGCTCTCCCAGGAGAGAAAAGGAATGGAAGAAATGGAGGAGACTTTCAACAACAAAGCATAAGCCTAGATTTTGGTTACAAGCTGTTGTAATCGTTACTATCGAATCAATAAGGATAGATCTCTGTAACTTAGTTATCAACGAGATTCCTTCTTTTTCCTCTTCGCTCTTTCAGATACAAAACAATTTGGTATCAAAGATGTAAACTTACCACCTACATTAGATGTTTTATTTTTTATCATCCTAAGAAATGTTATATTAGCTTGGCTTGTGTGATTCTCATACTCAATATGCTTAGATCTAAAGTTAATTATGTTTGGCTAGAATTTATCCTCTATTTTCTTCATTAATTAGTTTAACTAAAGGGTTCAACACTTTTTGGTCAAACAATTTGGCGCCGTTTGTGGGGATTTCTTAGCCAAATTTTTTAGTTCCCTTTAGATCTAGAACTAGCCAAGTATTACTTTCGGGCTGTCAAAACCTCACCATCTCGGTATGAACACCAACTCGAAAAGAATGGTAGATAAGCTTTTGAGGTAACCGTACCAATCTAGGTCAAATCTCTACATAAAATAGAGATTGTGACCGATGTTTATGCAGAACCCACGCCTTACCTGTAGCGATGGGTTAGGCACGTCATATGCATGTTTAAGGTAGAATCACGGTCACTATACGCTTGGCATGACCGCAATCCCATTTGACGTATTCACCTTGTATACCGGCCTGTACTTCCACCTCTTAGGGAGGGACAATAGTCCGCTGTGTGATCCTTTGAAATAGCGGGCATACCCTGCCTTATTTTCGTACCCACACGCACCAGACGATTTATGAACAAAGTATGACATGTTTCTCTTATATTTTGCGTATATCGGACGGGGTCGGATTGGGACTCGGCCTCGGTATCCCAACGAGAGAGGTAAGCCCAACTCATGAGAAACCTAGACGTGATTAATGGCGAAGCCAAACATGGCTGCCAAATCTGAAACCACCATTCGAGTACGAGGCGAAGCGAGCAACCCTACATCGCCGCTCCTCCTTTCACCGACTTGCCAGGCCAAGGTAACAGACAATTTCGTTTGGGTTTATCTTATCACACTCTCTTGTTGGTTCAAAATAGGAACACGAGCACTCCTATAGGTACGCGAACAAGGAACGAACGCCGCCAAAACACCCCAAGAAAAGGTTCCTTACCATGCCGTCTCGCGAGTAACGACCGAGCCAAACCCTTTAAGCTGCACCATATTACAAATAACTGAAACGGCTCGGCACATATCGACTATTGAAAAACAATCTCCAATGAAAGCAAAGTTAAGCAAACTAGGACTCACCCATGAAACACACGACATTCTCCAATGAAAGCAGAGTTAAGCAAACTGGGACTCACCCATGAAACACATGGCATTCTCCAAAAAAAAAAGGAAAGTTCGACCTCGTTCGAATTTACAGCGGGTTACAGTTTCGACCTCGCTCGAACTAACACCCCTGCGGCCATCGACCATCGCCAAATGAAAGTAAAGTTCGACCTCGTTCGAATTTACAGCGGGTAACAGTTTCGACCTCGCTCGAACTAACACTCCTACGGCCATCGGCCATCGCCAAAAGGAAAGTTTGACCTCGTTCGAATTTACAGCGGGTCATAGTTTCGATCTCTCTCGAACTAACACCCCTACGGCCATCGGCCATCGCCAAAAGGAAAGTTCGACCTCGTTCGGATTTACAACGGGTCACAGTTTCGACCTCGCTCGAACTGACACCCCTACGGCCATCGACCATCGCCAAATGAAAGAAAAGTTCGACCTCGTTCGAATTTACGACGGGTTATAATTCTATCTTGCTCGAATTAACACCTTTACGGCCCTCGACCGTCGCCAAACTCGCCACGAAAATTTGACTTCAAACCAAGTTGGCAACTCTAAATTTAAGCTCGCTCGAATGTACGAGCCAGACTGACTTCGACCAAGTTGACAAGTTTGAATTCGACCTCGTTTGAATATATAAGTCTAGGTTGATTCCGAACAAGTTAACAAATCATAAGTCAACCTCGGCCGAACCCGCAGGTCCGAAGCGATTTCATTCGAACCCACACAACGAGATCCAATCTCGCTCGAATCTAGCAAAATAGATCCACCCCCATTCGGATTCCCAATTAAGATATCAGGGACTCATCAACAAAGAAACCTGAAGATCTCCCCAAGAAAGAAAGTACCAAAAAAAATGGGAGAGAAAGAGAATGGTCAAAAGATGCATGAAAGAAGGCGAAGCAACTACTTTATTCAGATGTACACGCGTAACAGCCGCGTCTTACAAAAGGCGGGAACAGGCCCTCAAGAAAAAGATATAAATAAACAACATAAAAAAAAAACTAAGTTAGAAGTTGCAACAAAGCCTCATTCGGCGTCATCTCCACCGTCGTTCTCCCCAACATCCTCCTCATCATCGGAAGTGAGCCCATCCTCGACATCAACGCCCTCACCAGCCTCCGGCGTTACAGGGTCATAACCGCAGGCAGTGCGAGCCTCGCGTGCCTTCGCCCGAGCATCTTCAAATGCGGCCTCTGGGACACTTCCGGCCTCCCATAAACCCTTGTATATATCACGTTGGGCCTCAGCATGGACCCATAGTTCATACAGACGGCGAGGAATAGTGGCCGAAGCAGACTCTTGAGGGGGATCTTGAGCCAATAACTGGGCCTTCTCAGCTTCGAGAGCCGCAACTCGGTCTCCCAAGATCGAAGCGTCTCGATCAAGTTCACCAATTCGCTCCTCAAGCCACACCTCCCTTAGCGTGGCCGTCGCTCTCTCAGACTCCTGTTCGGATCTGAGGAAATGGATAATATCCTCTAGAGCCTTCGCCTTCGCCTTCGCCAAAGCCGACACTCGAGCGTTCTCGGCTCTCTCCATCTCGGCCACTTTCTTTTCTAGCTCGGCCACCTTCTCCGTCCATTCCGCACTCAGAGCATCGACCTTAGTAGCATTTTGCTCGAGCTCAGCTCGTAGAGACGATACCTTCGCCTGAAGGTCCTCGCACTCCGCGACAACCCCTTTGCCCACCTCAAGCTCTTCATCCTTGATATGAACTTGCTCATCAAGCTCGCTGCATCTGCGGATAGACCGCATCAGTTCCTCATCTCTTCTCTCCAACTCCTCCCTGGTGGATTGGGAGCCCGCACCCGCTCTGAGCTGCTCATGCATCTCTCGGCATCTGTTGCGATATCGCTGATACTTCTCGGCCATTTTCAGAAAGATCTCTGTCCGCGTCTCGGCCCTACGAGCACTCTCAACCTCCGGTATGTAAGTCTAAAAAAAGCAAGAAAGAGTCAGTACAAAATCAAAAAGGTTACGAAACTAAGAAAATAAAGGGGAACTCACCCTTAGGCCCATCGCGGCCACACCACGTGATAACTCGGAGTCGTTGACATCCTGAAGAGCTCCGCTTTCAGCGGCGGAACACAGAAGATCGAACTGCGGCACCAGATCCACCGTGTCTTACAGCAGATTGAGATCCGATGGAATTTTGAGTATTCGGGAAGGGCCCTCCGCTCTTACCACAGTTCAGGTAAAACCCTCCTCGAATATCCTCATGTCCTCAGGATCAATGTCGGATTCAGACTCATAATCCTCAATCACGACACCCTTCCCCCTCTCATTGGCCGAAGAAGGAGCGCGGTTCTGCCGAGATGTCGAAGGGCCGCCCGAAACAGCAATGGAAGCCTCGGAGCTCCGCCTCTCCGTCACACTAGCCCCGCGTTACCTCCGCGGCCGGGTTGGTATCACCGCCTGTTTCGGGCGCCGCCGAGGCAAGGTTGCCCCTCGAATATGTTTCGGCTGGAGAAGCCTCTTCCAACACTACCCGTCGTCTCTTCGACGGGGCCTCTCCGCTACCAACGCGGGAAGATTCGCCTGTTGAACGGACTGCGGGAATCGGAGTCTCCGGCTGGGGAGTAACCTCCACACGCACAGCTTCGGTCGCGGGCGCAGATCGAGCAATAGCTCTTGGTGCATGCCAGGCAGCAGCCATCGACGCAGGCCGGGCAGGGGCGCAGGTTGACGGAATGCAAGCGGAGGAGCCCTCGTCCTTCGCACTCTCCGAACTATCAACAAGGTGGGATTAGATCATATAACGACAGGGTTAAACTACGAAGCAAAGAATAAAGCGAAACTACAACACGCCGACTCACCGGCAAG